TTTTTTTTTAAACATAGATAAAATGAATAATTTGAACAAATGATGAGAAACTATAAACACTATAATATATATGACAAATAAACAAATCCAAAAAGTGATAAAATTTAGTTATTTTTTCGAATTATTAATGAACATATGATGGCAGATATTTATACAATTTAAACAATTGATATTTTTTGCCGGAATACACAATTTAAATAATTACATACAATTGGAATGTTTAACACGTATCATTTAAACGTACACTTAAAATATTAAAAGAAAACTAGTTGGTAAGTGTTTAGAAACTTAAATTCAAGTCCTATTATAAAATATAATCTAACCAGTAACCTGTTTGTTTCTCAATAAATGTTTACAGATTCTGTACAACAGATAAACGGGGAAACATTGTTAATACTTATTTATGAGTTTAAATTTCTACATCTAAAAATTTGTGCTGTATACTTTATTGAGTTTTATTATCTTTATATTGATGGTGTACATTACTCAATTAATGAAGAGCAAACGAACACTTAACTAAGATTGGATTGCACCACATCGCAAATAGTACTTAATATATAAGGTACTTGGACCTCAATTTTTAAGTAACATTTAAAAGTACTGATGGAAAATCAAATAAATAATAACTCTTTACAACATAAAATTTAAATAGAAGAACACACAGAATAAATAATGTTTGATGCATTAAAATGGCCATCTTTTTATTTAAGAATTTTTTTCCTACACGAAATTATTTTAAAGCAGGGAATGAAGAATTATATTCGACTACATTGAAGAGTGTGGGAGCAAGGATAAAAATTTTAATTCCTTTCAACTAAAATATTAATATGATATAATTTGTATAAAGACTTGTGTCGTTTCAATGTTCACGGATTTATTTTTGAACAAAATTTTTATGGATTTAAATGCTGGGGGCAAACATATTATTTAGTATAAAGGTAAATTGCAACAATCAGTCCATACAACCCCAATACTTCAGCAAAAATAAGGATCAAAATCATTCCTACGAATAATCTAGGTTGTTGTGCTGTGCCTCGTACACCAGCATCGCCTACAATTCCAATGGCAAATCCAGCAGCTAATCCGCTGAATCCAACTGAAAGACCAGCACCAAGATGGATGAATCCTCTATAAAATGACAAACAATACCAAAATAATAATAATGGTTTTAAAATGTCTAACTTAAGTAATTTTTTTACTTGAATAGTGAATATTTGCTTGGCTCATCTAGAGCTCCAGCTATCAGTACAGCAACCACAAGACCATATATAGCAATAATACCAGCCATAACAACAGGAATGATAGACTTCATTATAAGTTCTGGCCTCATTACTGACATAGCAGCAATACCAGTTCCTGATTTAGCAGTACCATAAGCAGCACCAAGAGCTAAAATTGAAAAAATAACAACCTTTAAAAATCATTCAAAGTAATTTGAACTTACATTATAGTATACAACTATTATATATTTTAGGTAATAGATGATAATGAAAAATACATCTTTGAAAATTGTGTTTTTTATGAACAATAACATAGCAAATTCATTTACCAATTTTTCAAACATTATTGAAAAATGGATAAAAATATTTAGTTTTCTTTAATTTAAAATGTAATTTTTTTTTGGTATTAATTCAAAATTTAAAAACTAGCGTGTAAAAATAAAATTTCTTATTTATAATAATATAAATTGACTTCATGCTTTTAATCTAAACTCATTGAAAAATTATTTTGTTGCAAACTAAGATCAATCTTTAAATTTTTCTATTTTAATTCTAAAGAACAATTGATATTAAGATAACAAAGTAATTTTTTTTCTGTCAGTAAATTATTATTATGAAAAAAATTCAGAAAACAATATATGAACTTTTTATCATTAAGAAATAATTTATTTTTAATTTAAAATTGGGACATTTTTGCATAAATAAAAAATAATTCAAAGTAAAAAGTTAATAGAAAAAACTAATATTAGTTCCATAGAAAATATACTCTATTTAATATTTGAGTTAAACATGAAAAAGACTAAATACTCAAGTATTAATTATAAAAACATAATAAGTTTAAAGTAGTCAAGAAACTAGATTTTTTGCATTAAATAATTTTTTATAAGGAGTAGAATATAATAAACTTTAATACATAGTAAGTATATTTAAATTTTATATTTTTCATTTTTACATTTTATTGGTTATCAATTAAATAAGACTTTAAACAAGTTTTACATAACAAAAATGACCTTCAAATGTTGCAACAGACAAATCAAAAACTTTAGTTTAAATTTTAATGAACCTATTAAATATATACCAAGACATATAGTAAATGTTATATTTTTCAGAATATTAAAAGAATTTTTAAAACAATTAGAACTAATAAGTTGGAGATAATTTTGGTCACACCCATTTAAGAAAAAAAATAAAATAAAACACTAGTTGATATGATAAAAAACTCATATAATAAAGTATTTGTAATAGAACAAGAAACTCGAATTTCTTCAAATGAAAAATTTTGCTTAGTAATTATATCAGTAAATTTTAGCTTTACTAAATTTCTCATCAATAATATAAATTAATACTGCCTAAACTAGATTAATTACAATCAAATAACCACCTTAACAAATTAATTTATAAACTACATATATCACAATGTAATAACCAACATTTTTTTTTTAATTTATAAGTAGGACAAGTAAAAAACAAAAAAAAATCTAAAATTTAAACATTAAAAGCGCCCACTTCAAATGCTATAAAAATTGGTCATAACATTTCCTCGATGGAATAATGACAGAGAAAATTTTTCTATGTTAAGAAATGTCCAAGAATAGCAAAATTATTATCTCTCTATAATCGCAACAGAACCAGGCCACGCCTAAAAACTAACGCACGAGTGCCTAAAACGTGCTGTACGCCTAGATGCGAAGTTATGTGGCTAAATACAATAATATATCACAGCTGATGTTGGTTTTCCATAAAATTGCCTATAACACACAGCCAATGCTAAAAATNCAGAACCAGGCCACGCCTAAAAACTAACGCACGAGTGCCTAAAACGTGCTGTACGCCTAGATGCGAAGTTATATGTGGCTAAATACAATAATATATCACAGCTGATGTTGGTTTTCCATAAAATTGCCTATAACACACAGCCAATGCTAAAAATTCTCAATACTATATACAAATAACACACAAGCTATCATTTAATTTATGAAGAGTGGGTGTGGCGAGCGTGCAAATGATCTTTTTTTTTTTTTAGATGTAATAAAAACAATTGTAGATTTACATTAAAGTGTTCCAAATTAACAAAATCAATAAAATAAAATACGGCTACTATAACTGTATGCTTACCGCTGAAGATGATGGCAGAAGCCGCGCCCATAACGCCAAAGAAGGGTCCGTAAACTGGATTTGTTTCGGTCATTTTGAGTTTTTTATAACTTAAATTAATTAAAAACAAAATATATAACAAATAAAAACGACCCTAGTATCGAGGATCGTATTAAAACAGAAAATGAATTCTGTTAAAAAATTGTTAACTACAAAAATTGTTAACTACCGGTCGACTGCTCGCGTGAACGTAGGAAAGTGACCAATTTAAAAAGGCTGCTATATACAGTGTAACGGAGCTAGCAACTAACACGGGTTACCGAATAACGAGTGGTGATCAGCGGAGAAAAAACCGTGACAAACGTAAAATGATCGTAAGCCACGGTGCAATCAGAGTATAAAAATATGGAGAGGTGGTTTCTATTATGGAGAGCACAAAAAGCTGTTCGGCAAAAAATGGCGGACGCCCGCTACCGGCGGTATTCAGCGACAATAACCGAACAACTTAGCCGCGAAAATTTGAAATCTAATTGCAATCCCATTCATTTGGTTTAATTTTTTAGAGAGGCTGAAAAATTACTCATATAACAATATATCATTACTAATATAAATATATCGAAATGCATAATAAAATATTTTTAAAAATAATTAATATTATTTTTATTTCAATAAAATATATCTATTTTACACAATTAATGTGTATTTTACCATATCCTAAATTTATAATGTTTACTTATTATGTTATTAACACGCTCATTGTCAAATACAGCCTTAATAAAGGCAATTTAACGAACCACTATAGAACATAGACCAAAAAATTTAATATTAACTTAATAAGAAAACAAAGTATCGAACAATTTATCATTGACATCATCACTATACGATTTATATCGCCATCCGATAGCAGAATATTTTATAATCATTGTAAAATATTCTGCTTTAAAATTAATCTATAAATTACTCTTTACTATAAATAACTATTTTAAAACAAAGTAGGATAGATAACAACATCGATTAAAAATATTTATAATCAAAAGAATACAGTTACTATAACAATTAAAGTAATGCTTCAATTTTAGGGAACGTAACCCTCTAAGATCCCTCGATGTTCGCCTATGATTCTATTTCATTTTTATTCATTCAAATTTATTTGTTACTAAATGTACAATTACAAAATCACATATATAAGCGAATTTCTTTACAAAAACTTACAAACCCATATTTGAAGTTCATCGAGAATCAAATTACTAGAACGTCTAATAGGAGTGCAAAATAAAAAAGAACTCTTCTCCAATTTTTTAAAGCTAGTAATAAAAAACCTTTTCATTAAAACTCAATACTTCCACTCTTTCATTATTATATGCTAAAGTAGGGTTTAATTAAAAAAAAAATCAATAAAATGTAACTTAAATAAGATCAACATGAAATTTAATAGATGAACTATGTTCAGTAGCCAAAATTTTTTAATGGACAATAGACAAAGGTCAGGTAACAGGTCAGGTCAGGTATGTTAGTATTGAGGATATATAGACCGAAACTTGTTTATTTTCAAAATGATATCGGAATCATAGTTAATGGAATGACCAAGTAAACTTTTTAGTGTGGCTAAATTTATTTTTCCCTCAACCTAAAAAATATTTTAATGCAACAATTAATAAATAAAGAAATATTCTAAGTGTGAGCGTCAAATATAAACAGCATAAGAAACATTATTTTCTGAATTTTTTTTTAATGAATTTAATTCTTATCTTAGGAATAAAACCTTATTTTCAATGGCGTATTTACGGGTAACAAATGGAACTAAAGTCCTGTACAGCACATTTGAAGAAATATATTTTAAAATTAAATGACCCTTTTAAAAAAAGGTATTTGAATAAATTAAAATTTGATAAACTAAAATGTTTAGAGGCATACAAATATTATAAATAAATTATACTTATTGCTCACATTGCACTGTTAATTTAATCTACATTTTTTATCGCTTAAATAATACTAAATAATAGTTACTACACAGATTTTTTAGATACTACACATTAACACACAGTCGTATATACAAGGGTGCCAGGGGATGCTTAGCACCTCTAATTGTTGTATAATTTCACACTTTTTATATGGTGATAAGCTAAATAAAGTAATAAAAACATATCAGAAATTAAAATAGTTTTAGCAATCCCAAGATATTTATTGAATATTAATAAATATGCGCCTATATATGAATATTTTAGAAGGTAAGTAAATTAAAAAGTAAACAGGTGTAGTGTAAAAGACGGGCACACTAAAACTATGTTTTTGTTGCAATTACAGGAACACGCAAACAAATAATTATATATAAATGGCCAATGGCGTATTTTCCAAAAAAAAGCTGGGTAGGGTAGTAAAAATGTCTATCTTTCTCCTTAAATTGAAAAGTAAGTTTTGAATACCTAGTAGTTTTTAGAGCAAAAAATAGTCATTAAAATTATTTGATTCCCCAAAAAACTCTTGGTTGTGGCCCTGGTATGATACACGGTACATTAAATATTACATCTATGCGTATATTTGGTTTTAAGAATTGATGACTTGTGTCTAATATTTTAAATATTAATTTAAAATTAAAATATATTTAATTGATAAAATTTTAAAAATTACTATGAAATCGTGTATACTTATAATATTACCATCATCAGCGATAAACACATAATATTTTATACATTTGTTTGGTTAAGCTCATGGTTCTAAATGTTAAAATATGTTTAGACATGTTTTACTAATACAATATTAATATGTTAGTGTTCAAAAATATCTAACACAAGTTTTATTAATTCAATCATATTATGATGTGTAAATTAATATGATAATTGTAATAATTGAAAATTTGTAAGATGGTCCATCATGGAACATAAAAACACGGGCGTAACTACCGCAAGTTGAAACTCCTAGAGTTCGTTGAAAACTTGTCATAGAATAGCCGAACAGCAAGTGTCAATTTGAAACATCACCACCGCCGTGGTCATCACCACTTCCATAGCTGCAATCGTCATTACCATAGTTTTCATGTTAACCATGCTAAGCTTTCGTTATTGTCAAACAAATTATTAGTTAAATGATAAGGCATCAAGTTACCTAGTTAATTTATTAAATCTTAAGATGTAAAACGAAAAAAGTTACATGATTATAAATTTATTTCTGCTGAGTTATACATATTTATTTTAACAAATATGGTTGATAGTAAAATAGATTATCTATTAGTAGATAATAAGTAAAATCAATTGTTGACAATTAATACTAATTTATCATAAATATTATAAGCCTAATATTTTTATTATCTATGAAATACACAATATAGAGAAAATGGTATGTGGGACATTATCTAATAGAGTAAAATATGTTTTTGTACGCCCTTTAAAACTATTATTTGTGAAATTAATTAAGAAAATAAATAATATTTTCAATTTTTATCCTTCTATATCAATTATTCATCTTAACATGAAATAATATAAAACAATAACGTCATGATTTAAACAATAAAATGAAAATATAAATGAAATAACTCCGCCGGTTGAGAATTTAAAGGCCGGTGGTTGTGCAGTGTGACCAACGGATAAAAATTGGTAGGCAAAGTAAAAATGTACAAAAAATACAATCTAGGTATCCAAAAAGTTAAATGAAGAATGGAGATAGAAACCAGAACCTGAAATCCGAGTTTGATTGTCGGCTAAATTTTCAGTAAACTTATCTCGTGCGAGTCTGTGACGTCTCTCTTATAGAGACAACTTGTCTGTACGTCAATAATATTATAATTTTGTGTGTAAACTTGCCTGGAGAGCGCGCCAATTCAGTGATAATTATGTTCATAGTAGCTTTACAATCATCATTCTATTAATTTCCGATTGATGTGCAAACGTTGCCACTTTGTATTTTTGAATGACACTGTTAGTTAACTGGAATTTATAGGTATGTATGTATGTATGTCATTTTATTAGTGTCAATTGTCAGCTAAGACATCGTTAATACTTGGTGTCATTAACTGAGGATAGCGATTTACCTTAATATTGAAAATTTTTAAGAAAATGGTCTGATGAATTTAAAATAGTCTTAAAAATTGCTGTTAAATTCATGTATTTAAATGTTATTCTATATAAATATTGTTAATTCACCCATATAAATATGACTAATATAAATTCTTAGGTAATCTAGACTAGGAATGTTTCATTAATTTACAATAAGATTTATTTAAGAACTCTTAATGAACACTATATTAATATTATTATTATATTAAAAGAAAAATTATTAATTTAAAGAATCAAGTAATTACTCTAATATTTCTTTTTCTAATAATTCACAATATTTTTTAGGCATAAAGCTAATTATTAAGAATTTTTTTAATCAATACTATCATGCCTGCTGTTAGAGGAGATGGTATGCGAGGATTGGCTGTTTTTATATCAGATATCAGAAATTGTAAGTAAAAATAACTTAAGTAGAACACAAATAACTTTTTTCTAAGTAGTAACATTTATGATTTATTATTATTGATTAATGGTTATTAATATTAGTTTCTACTGATAAGAATATAGGATATGTTGTTAAACAGTTTATTTTTTAAAATTAAATTTCATTTCTTTGGAATTAATTTACTGTTGTGAAATATAATGGTTTATCTAATTTATTTTCATTACAAACATATTACTAACCTGGTAATGTTATTACTTTTAGTTTTAAAATTTAATTATAAATTATAATTTAGAGGATTAGTTTTTTTTATTCTTTTTTTTAGTAATTTATAATTAAGATAAAAAAATTGATTTAGACTTAGAAATATTAGTATTATTGTTTGTTAAAATAAATATATGAATTGATTAATTGAATAGTAAAGTTGAAAATTCTCTCCAGGCAAAAGCAAAGAAGCAGAAATAAAACGAATCAATAAAGAATTAGCAAATATTAGAAGTAAATTTAAAGGTGATAAAACATTAGATGGTTATCAGAAAAAGAAATATGTTTGCAAACTATTATTCATATTTTTGTTGGGCCATGACATCGATTTTGGCCATATGGAAGCTGTCAACTTATTGTCCTCAAATAAATATTCTGAAAAACAAATAGTAAGTGTTAATAACAATTGTAAATTAATGAATTCATCCTGTATATTTTATTTTTACTATCATAAATGAATATATATGTTTAATATTCAATATTTTCCATTAGAATCCAATTATTCATCAAATTATCATATAACTTAACTTTCTCTATTATTTTTTAGAGAAAGTTTATTGGTGTTTCTTATTTAATAAAAAGATTAATTATAATAATGTAAATAGATAGATTAAAATTAAAATTATACTTTAATAATATAGTATGCAAATTGATATTTTTAGGGATACCTGTTTATTTCTGTATTGGTAAATACCAATAGTGATTTAATTAAACTCATTAATCAGAGTATTAAAAATGATCTCCAATCTAGGTAAGTCTTTTTAATAAACTAGAATAAATAAACATTAATATTTATGTATTATTTTATGTAAATTTTGATATATTGTCATCATGTATGACAACAATAATATATATCAAAATAAAGTTTTTCTGTGAATTGTAACAATTTTGATCAAAGACATAAAATATTTTCAAATATTATAAAATAAAAATTTTAATTATTTGTAGAAATTCTATTCATGTCAACTTAGCAATGCAATGTATTGCTAATATTGGTAGTAGAGACATGGCTGAAGCCTTTGGATATGAAATACCAAAACTTCTTGTATCTGGGTAAGTATTGTTAAGTTAATTTTTTAACTAATTTATTTATTTTTATCTTTTTTTTAGAGATACTATGGATGTTGTTAAGCAATCTGCAGCTTTATGTTTTCTTCGTCTTTTGCGTACTAACCCAGATGTCATACCAATTGATTCAAATGGTGCCAGTGAATGGACTTCAAGAATTGTACATTTACTCAATGATCAACATTTGGGAGTTGTAACTGCTGCTGTATCATTAATTGATGCTCTTGTAAAACGAAACCCTAAAGAATATAAAGCTTGTGTCAGTTTTGCTGTTTCACGACTTTCAAGGGTACCTATTAACAAAACGTAATAGTTAGAAATATTAATTATATTCTTTTTGTGTAGATTGTTACTGCTAGTTACACAGATTTACAAGATTATACTTATTACTTTGTCCCAGCTCCATGGTTGTCCGTTAAATTACTTCGGCTATTACAGAATTATTCAACTCCAGGTAAAAATATAACTTAAAATAACTGGGACAAAAAAGACTAACATTTTATTTTTATTCATGTTCAATATAAATATTTTAGAAGATGCAGGTGTAAGAGTTAGACTAAATGAATGTTTAGAAACAATATTAAATAAAGCACAAGAAGCACCTAAATCAAAAAAAGTACAACATTCCAACGCTAAAAATGCGGTGTTATTTGAAGCTATAAGCTTAATAATTCATAATGATAGGTATGAATATTAATTATAATACATAAATATTAAAGTAATGACCAAAAAATAAAATGTTACTCATGATATCTTACTTTTGTAAGTATTTTATTTTTTTTTCAACCATGAATAACTAATACAAATTAATTATCAACTTGTAGAACATTTTATTTAAAAATAAATCCTTTGTAAGTATTAAGAATTGATTATTTGGAAAAAATGTTTATTTTTAATATAAAATAAATATGCATTTAATTCTAAAAATATATACATTTAATAAAATATTTAAAAATAATTGTACAGACAGAAATATATTTTATTGATTTTTTTTCTTTGATTAATTAATGCCAAATCATTTTGTCTAAATAGTAACAATCAAGTTTTATATAATGTAAAAGTAAAAAGTATAATGTAATGTCCCTAATGTTTAATGTATAATAAATGATTTTTATTAATATTTTTATTTTGATAATTGCCAAAGTAGTTTTATGTATATTTACTAACAAAAAAAAAAAAAATATGTAATTTTCATGTTTCATTTTTAGTGAGCCAAATTTACTTGTTAGAGCTTGTAATCAATTGGGTCAGTTTTTATCCAATCGTGAAACCAATTTAAGGTATTTAGCATTAGAATCAATGTGTCTCTTAGCAAACTCAGAATTTTCTCATGAAGCAGTTAAGAAGCATCAAGAAGTTGTTATTTTATCAATGAAAGTAATGTTTTATATATCATATTTTTTGAGATTATTTTTTGAGTAATTTAAAATTATTAGATGGAAAAAGATGTTTCGGTGAGACAACAAGCTGTTGATTTACTTTATGCTATGTGTGATAAATCGAATGCCGAAGAAATAGTTCAGGAAATGTTAAATTATCTAGAAACAGCTGACTACTCTATTAGAGAAGAAATGGTATGGGTTTTTTAGTTATTATTTGAGATCAGGATTTTATATCTTTTAAATATACTGATATATAAGATAATATTAGCTGTTTTATAGGTTTTTTTATAGAACATTTAATTTAGTAAAATTAATATAATATTTAATGTATTGACAAATAAAGTTTTATAGAAATCGTATGAAATAAATCTTATCTCATTTTATTTTAAATTACTTTGTAATAATAAATATATTATTTTCCTTCTATAACATTAATTCAGAAAAATTTTATACCACAAAAGCGTTTAGTGATCTCAAATAGTTTTTTGGCTATTCTAAAAAATAATTAAATTTAGTTAACTGACTACATTTTTTGCTGTAGATATCATTAAAAATGTATTTAAGAATTGTAAAAGTTTTAGCTTCAAAATGTAGCTGAGAAGCTATTGATTTTACTCTGCTGTTTTTGTTTTCTTGTATTTGTTCAGTATACCTATACTTCCACTATCAATAATACTTCAAATATTTGCTTTGTCGGAGATATATTTTATTTGAAAATTCCATTATTAACTATAAAAACTTAAAAATTAGATCAATATTTTTTTTTTTCAATTTTTGATAATGTTATAAAAAACCGATCTTCTTTAAATCTATATTAAGTTATAGCTAATATAATATACTTGAAGATATAATGAAAACTATCTGAAATCACTATTTCTAGGAGTTATTGGGCATTAAAGCTTAAAATCATACAAAAAAAAATTGCTGATTTTGAAGTGTTTTTCATAACAACAGAATATCTACACCTTTAAATACTACATTAAATTTAAGATTACTTGTGTATTATATGATTAAAAAAAGAAAGACTTTCTAATGACTTATCTATGAATAATCTACATCTAAATTTATAATTTTGTAATTTTTTTTTAATTTATTTCAAATACATATTGAAGTGTTTTACAATAGTAATATTAAACACTGTTAGATATCAATCAATATTAACCTTTAAAATGATAAAACTTCATTTTCTTGGATCACTACTATATTTTTAAAATTTTATTCTTGTATATTTTTTTATAAAAATGATAATTTGTAGGTTTTAAAAGTTGCGATTTTAGCAGAAAAATATGCAACTGACTATACCTGGTATGTAGATGTTATTCTTAATTTAATAAGAATTGCTGGTGATTATGTGTCAGAAGAAGTTTGGTACCGTGTCATTCAAATTGTTATAAACAGAGATGATGTTCAAGGTTATGCTGCTAAAACTGTTTTTGAGGTAAAAAATTTATTACATATTAGTATATACTATTTTACAATTTATATTATTATTATATCTATTAATATCATATAGGCACTTCAAGCTCCTGCATGTCATGAAAACATGGTTAAAGTAGGTGGATATATTCTTGGAGAATTTGGAAATTTAATTGCAGGAGATTCTAGGTCTGCACCAAATGTACAATTTCAATTATTACATTCCAAGGTTTGATAAATAAATTTAATAAGTGAAAATTTTGTATTAATAGTTCTTTCATTCCATTAAATAGTATCATTTGTGTTCCCCAATGACTCGAGCTTTATTGCTATCAACATATGTAAAATTCATAAATTTATTCCCAGAAGTTAAATTTACAATTCAAGAAATTTTAAAACAAGATAGTAATCTACGGAGTGCTGATGCTGAACTTCAACAACGTGCCTCTGAATATTTACAACTTTCAAAAATAGTCTCAACTGATGTTTTGGTAAATCATTAGTTTTTATATATCAAACAATTCAATTATATTATTCTTCCTTTTGACTTTTTATTATATAAGGAACTAAAATTTTATTTAAAAATATGTTGATAATTGTTTTATTAGTAATATTTAAATTTTCAATTTTAAAAAGTTAAAAAGATGAATTTAATATATGTAGGCTACTGTATTAGAAGAAATGCCATCATTCCCAGAACGTGAATCATCAATCTTAGCAGTGTTAAAAAAGAAAAAACCAGGGCGTGTTCCTGATAACGAAACTCAGGAAAATCGAAGTCCCGAACCGTCACCAATTATTCATCAAAATAATCATCATAACAATCATACAAATGTAATGATATATATTTTTTATATTAACCTCATTAAAATTACTTTTATAAAACTATTTTTTTAGTCAAATAATAATTCAGCTGATCTACTTGGGCTATCTACTCCAAATGTTACATCAACCCATTCATCTAGCAATGCTAATGTGCTAGTGGATGTGTTAGGTGACTTATATGGTAGTGGAGCAGCTGGCTCAAATTCATTGAGTGCAAGTACCAATAATTACAATCCTAAAAAGTAAGTCATATATATACAGAGTGATTCACTTATCATGAACCACTTAATTAATCGAAAAATTAATAATATTTATAATTTTTTTGTTTGTTTCTTTTAACTCAATTTTTGTCTTAATGTCTCTTAATCATAAAAAAAATTTCATGTTCATTCTTCATACCTTATAATAGTGTCAACTTTTATTTATCAGGTAATGGTCTAATTAAGAAAATGATTGATCTATAACAACTTTTGGACCAGTATTTTAGAAGTTATTGACATATTTATATCTAGGTGAAAGGAAGAGTATGGCCAGGATATATCTAGTTATAAAAATAGCAGAACCACTTATTCCTCTTCACCTTTAGTATTTTAAATTGTTAATAATTTCCAAAAATTATTATTGACCAATGACTTTCTAATAAGCTAATTAATAATTTGTTAAAGTTGACATCCTTATAAGGTATAAGGGATAAACATAATTTATTATGTTATATATGTTATTATAATTTATGATTTAAAAAAAACAATGAACTAAAAGAAATCAATTAAAAAATTATCATTATTCTTAATATTCAATAAAAAAAAGTATATATTGAGTAGTTTATGATAAGTGAATGATCTTGTGTGCATGTGTATTTAAATATATATATTTAAATAACCTTTTTTGTTTTAACAGATTTATTTGTAAAAATAACGGAGTACTGTTTGAAAATGAACTCATTCAAGTAGGTGTTAAATGTGAATTTAAAAAAAATTTAGGCCGACTTGGTCTATTTTATGGGAACAAAACTGCTACACCATTACAGGTATATTTAACTATACAATTAATCAGTTATTTGAAAACACTATTATTTTAATTAAATTTTATTTTTTTTTAGAATTTCTCTACTGTCTTATCTAGTCCACATCTCTGGGTTACTAAGTTAGCAATTCAAATTAAACCTATAGAACCCATTTTAGAAGCTGGTGCACAAATACAGCAGTTAGCTATCATAGAATGTATAGAAGAGTATACAGGTATTTAATAACAATATACTATTGAATATCTTTTTATTTATTTTTGTGTGATAAAAATAATTTTTCGTATTTTTGGTCAACAATGTAAGTTAGTCAAATTAATCTGCATTGAATATTTTTTAACTTACCCGTACTCATTAAAAAGTGAAATACGTATAAAAATTTACTTTTTGATCAATTCATAATTTAAATTATATCAAAGAATAGTTTTTAGATTTGTACTTCTACAGTTTTACTCTGAACTATTTCTATTTGACTATGAAATTGTGTGTGTTATTTTTATTACTAAAAATCAATCTTGAGTTATTTTTTAACATTGATTTGCCATAAATATTTATTAAAAATATTTCAGGAATACCCATTATTAATGTATCTTTTGTATATAATGGTGTACCACAAAATGTTGCTGTTAAGCTTCCTGTAACGTTAAATAAATTCTTTGAACCAACAGAAATGAATAGTGAATCATTTTTCGCACGCTGGAAAAATCTTGGCAGGTAATGGTTTAATTTTAACCACAGAGATTAATTTTTCTTCTTAAAAACATTACAACTTTGTATGACTAAATATAAAAGTTAAAGTTTTTTAGAAATTTTAATGAAATGCTATTACAAATTAAATTTGAAATTTCGTAGCTTAATATTTAATTCAAGTTTATTTCTATGATAATTTAGACAAAAATAATTTTATATAATCAGTTATTATTAATATCTTGATAGAAAGTACTGTAAATAGTTTTAAATCCCCAATTCCAGTACAATATTATGGATAAGTATTAATTTTTGTATACATTATTGAAGTTTAAATACACATCAAAATGTTTTACTTCAGTGATTTAATTACTGTCAGATATCAATCAATACGATTATAAAATATGGCTCAACTTTACTTTACTAGATTCTTACTGTACTGTCCTTTTTTTTTTTTAGTAACCATGACCCTCAAAAGTCTCAAAAAATATTTAAAGCATCACAACCGATGGATCAAGTGTCAACTAGAACAAAACTTTCTGGATTTGGAATGCAGTTGTTAGATGGTATTGATCCTAATCCTGATAATTTTGTGTGTGCTGGTATTGTTCATACAAAATCACAACAAATTGGTTGTTTATTACGATTAGAACCAAATAAACAAGCTCAGGTTAGTTAAAATTAAATATTATTTATTTTATCTTAATAAAATATTAGTTTAAAATATATTAAAATCATTTAATAGTATATTTTTACCTGACAAATTTTTATTTTTAAATTTCATTCAATTTTAAAGATATTTTATATTGATTGTTGCGAGTCAAATGTAAATTTATTTTTCCTTTTAAATATGTATATAATATATATTTTTATTTATGTAATTCAAAAATTCAAACTTTGATTATATTTTAATGCTTTTGTTTTTAAATTTATACCATTTATTAACAAATCCTATTTCAACCATTTTCTCAAAATAATTCATTCTTAGCATTTTATTTTTTATAAAAATAACATAACTGTTTAAATTTATTTATCTATTTCAATAATAAAGTTTTTATTTTATAGATGTATCGATTAACTGTAAGATCTAGTAAAGAACCCGTCTCCATAGAGATATGTGATCTCTTAGCCGACCAATTTTAAAATCTATCTGATATTATTTATTAGTAATGTGTACTTTTTTACAATTGTTAATGTCATCTAGTAAAAATGTCTATTGCGGTTTCAAATTATTGTTTTATACACACGCACATTAGAGGTATATATACAAATAATGCAAGATATAAACTTTAAAGTTTGAATTCATCGTAAGTCTGATGTTATATAGTTTATTTTAAGTGAATAGCTTGTGTTGTATATACTATATACACTTTGTTTTTATTAATTTATTTATGGTATGTGTGTGTAAATAACAAGCTAATGTCAAGACCCCAAAGACTTTGAACACTTTTTTTATATTTATTATTTATAAATATTATTGAATAAACTGTAGGTGTCTTTTATATTATTGTATTAACTTATTTGTTATTTTATTTGATTATTTATTTATTTAATGTACCAAAATATTGTGAGCAGTGCAAACATAAATATAGTATGTGGTAATTTTTTTTATTTTCAATTCTAGTTTTTACAGTTCAATGTTATCAAAAACAAAATGAAACAGTTTCTCTAATATCCATAAATTGTATTAATATAATATTGTTTTTTTTTCTTCAAATTAGGTTATATTTTAGAAGTTACCACAAAATCCTTTAGAAAATCTTAATAATATATACTTTTATATTGATTTATAAATTAAGTATATAAGTTGTTAATTATAAATTTAACTGTAAATATACATAACTAATAATTATAGTTAAAAAACATACTATATTCTGATCAGTTATTATAAACCCTAATATTTTTAATTATACTCTAATAGTCCTAGGTCAACTCTCTACTTATTAACGTTATTGATTTATTATAAAGTCACTAGGCTAGTATTATCTAATATGCCATTTAAACAAATACCCAAGATAATTATTATAAATTATACCTTTATTTTAAATGTAAGTATTAATTATTGATATAAAATGTTTATATTAAATCAAGTATTAAAGCAAACTAAATGTTTATTAAAAAATAATTAATCATACTAGTAAAGCTGAAATTAATTGCTTATTTAATAGCTCCTAATTTTTATTTATACTCATATAAAATTCTTTTAAGCAACTAATTTTTCATAATTTCATTTTTTATATTCTAAAAAAGGCTAATTATACAAATGAAACTTATAATTTTTAATATATAATGTTTTAAGTTGTACAATTATAAACATTTTAAGTTGAATCTATTAATAATCACATTAATACTATTTCGTAAATATATAATTATGCAACTATCTATGTTATACTTAAAAATTATTGTATACACCTAATGTGATCCATTCTGTATCCTAATAATTAAATTATTATTTATTTATTAATTGTATCAAGTATTTATTTTGTATTTCTAGATTATGATCTTATATTAATTATAAAAACGTAAAATAAAATTTATTTTCCCTGATCAACTTCATTTTGAATTTTTATTACTTACGTTTTGTGCACTTATTCTATCTTAGAATTTATTTAACATAATTTTATTTAATTACTCACCATTATTTAAAAACTAATAAAAATAATAATTGCATTGTATAACCCATTGGCATTAAAAGTTTAACATATATAAAATATGTTTTATATACATAAAAAATATTTCATTTAAAAGAAGGGAGGTGTTACACCCTAAAATAATAAAAACAAATAAAAAAAGTGGATATATTTTTTTTCAATTTTAATTTTCTACCACAAAAAAATGTTTGATTTCTCACCATACTACTTTTAGCTTTCTAAGTATTCATACTATTATAAATCCATGTTTAAAGGGATCATAAAGTTCTGTTAAATGTAATGGGAAACCCTTTACATCCTTATTCACACTAAGCAATGGTCTCATTTTAAGAGTTTTGGTAACGCTTTGGGTAATAACATAGATTATAATCTGAGGGAATAATATACAGTTATTATTTTAGGAGAATTGATCTCCAATGTCACAATTCTATTATGTATTTAGTTACCCTATCTTAAGTTAAAACGATTAAGCGTAACTTATTATGTAATTGTAGTCAATTCATTTAGCATAATACGTAACAAACATATTCTGTACATTTCTATGCATAAAATTATTAGATTAAAACACTGATACTTAATACTCTAGAAGAATAACTTGCAATTTTTAAATTATAGCTTAAACAGTACGTCGAGGCAAGATAAATTAAATGTATACTAAGGTAATATTACAAAAATATATGTTATGAACATATAGAGGAAACTACTAAATTTTCGAGTAACTTTTACTTATTAGCAATTCAAAGTCCGCATATGATTTTACTAGGGTTATGTATGTATAAATTTTATGAAATTTGAAATATTACAAGTTTTTTTATATCATTTAAAATCTCGTTCCCCCTCTTATCGAGGAACTACATTTAATCATAATTACACATCATGTAAAATTTATTAACTTAATGTTATTTATTAGTACTAATAATAATAATTACATTTCTTATTTCAATGTAGAACGTTTTTAAATAATGACTAAAATCTTGTTTTTACGTTCAATAGTAAAAATAATATTCCACAATCAATTTATTGTTGACAGAAATTCATCTAAAATGGAATTAAACTCGTCTGGATATTTTAAGTGAATATTGTGTTTACCATTTGGAAAAATGTTTAGCCTGAAACAATATAAGGATGGAAACTATTATAACAAAAAAATTGCTTGAAACCGTTGAGGTAAAAATGTTATATTTATATCTTAATTACTATAACGATTAACAAATATTCTATAATGATATACAAAATATATCTTTAAACGAAAATATGGATAAATTATATGATTAACCCATATTTTCGTAAAAGTATAAATATGTTTGATAGTATATATATATAAATTATAATAATAACAAGCTATTATATATAGCTAAAAATAAAGTAAAACATAATAAAACGAAAAAGAGTAGACGATAAAACGTTATTATTCGTTAAAAGTGTATTCAAGATGAATTAAATTTTTGGTTGTAGTGATTACTATTATTATTACTACGCCCAAAAGAACAAAAGTAAAACACAAATTATTAACTAATATTAAAATACATATCAAAATAGCTTATTTCAAAGACATGATAATTGAATATAATTCAAGTAATAACAAATTAGGTGATTAAATAATTTGTAAATATAACTTACATTAATAAATTTAATATTTGGTAAACAGCATTAATAGCAATATTTTTACCTAAATTAGGAGCTATACATTAAAAAAATTAAGTTTGTACATATTTTAACTTTTTTATCCAATAGTCAATGGAAGCATTCCATAAAACACAATTATATTCAAATATTAAGTAAATTAATGAGCAGTTTAGAATCTTGATTTGAAAACGAATTATGTTATTAAATTTCAAGCTATTACGTTTCAAAAAACGAAGAACTTTTAATAATTTTTTTAATTTGATCTATGTGTAAAGAAAAGCTAATCACTCGACAAGAGTACTTCTAAGTTTTTAATTTTAGGTATATATTTAATTTATACATTATTTACTGAGTAAATAATAATTATTTAATAAGCGTAAAAGTAATATATATATATATAAAATTATTTTCATTTAACTTAAGATCATATTGTTACACTATTATACAAATTAATTCAAATCTTGTAGAGTAACACAATTATTAAATGAATTTATTAGTAGTATATTTTAAGATCACCAGTGGCCGATTTACTAGGAGGTCCAACTGGTCTGTACCCACTCCAGGAGCTGTTGCGTGCATTAATTATTGTGCAGAATGCATAGATCTGGACACTTGTTATTGTAAATGAAATATTTCGAAATTATTTTTAATTTTTTCACAGATATATTTATGTAGTATTATACGATTATTACACTATTTCTGTTATTTCTCTAAATTCCGTTAATATTTATTTAATTAACAATATTTAACGCAAACGGTACTTCTACGATAAAATTATAAGAAAAGTTATTAAGTAAATACTAACTACTGAATAATATATTTTTAAAATTCCATTTAATATAAACAATCCTTTATTCAAACAGCTTTTTCTAAATCTATTGAAATGTCTAATGAAGTCCAAATAAATATGCTGGAAGAAAATTTATCTACTAAATATCCATCTAATAATTAAATCTTCATCCGTTTTCTGATGCATTATGTACATTTTGTGCTTCGTTTTCAAGGTCTCGTGGTGGATACACAATAAATGTTGCCTTGACGGTTACGGACTTTTTAAATGTTTTGAAAAATCTCAATACACGCTAATGAAACAGCTGATATGTCAAGAGTTAAACAAATTTCTCTCAATGTCAGATTCATTGATTTACCTAAAATTTATCTTTGTGAAAAATTTTTACAATTTGTACTAACTGACGATTCAAAGGGTACAATATTAAAAAGCCTAAAACTGGTGTAGAGCTTAAATATCTTCTTTGTCAAGGCAACGATGGGACCACAACTATGTTAGGAAACTATAAAGGCGTTCAATTTTACATAAGATAAATTTATCCTTCTGCAATTTATGTTCACTGTTTTAATATTTTAAATCTTGTTGTCTCTAAATTATGTAGTGTATGGCCTATTATGAACTGATTAAGTTTAATTTGTGAAATTCGAGATATTTTTGTATTTTCATTTAGTAAAAAAATTAGTAAACAAATAAATGTTTTATCAGAAAAAATTCATAATTTTTTCGCTATACATGTTTTTTGAAGCTTTTTGAATTTGTTGTCGACACTTTTTTTTAAATCAAATCTGATATCAGATTGGAATTACAACGTAACTAATGGAAAGGCATAACTTTTACAAAAATCAATGAGAAATTATTATTGTATTAATTGTATCATTAAAAGGTTTGGATTTTGGTTTACCTCTTAAAAAATATTTGCAAAAATTTAACATTGATTTAAGATTAATAACTACTTTAGTTGATGAAACTTTAGAAGAAATGAACATTTTTATAGATTATGCTCAAAATCTATATTTATTTCATATATGGATTATTACATAACAGAACTCGAACAAAAGTTTGTCATACTTAAGATTAAGCTTTATAATTTTCAGTCATTGTTTAAAACAGAAGAAAATGAGGATTAATTTATTCGATTAGTAAATTATTATAAAGAAGATATAATTTACTAGAGTTGGTAAATTATTCGCTGTATTCTACTGAATATATATTATAGCAAAGAAGATTAAAAAACGTGGACAAAAATCATAAAATATTCTTCAAGTTATGTCAGTCTGCAATAAAGTAATAGATCCAAGTATCTTCATAGTTTTTCAAATTCCTTGCTACTTTACTAGTTTTCACTGTATCAAACGAGAGCACATTTCAAATTTAAAGCGAATCAAAACATATATAAGAAATACTACGATAGAGATAAACAATTTTTATTACTTAAAACGCATTATTAAATATGTTATTTTAATTTTAATTAACAATATAAAAGATATTAATATGTTTTTTATTAAATCACAGGCTAGACTAAACGGGTTGACAATGATGTTAATTAATAAAGATGAAAAATTTACAACAATTGATGTATTTCTCACAGAACTTTGTAAAACGAAAAGAAAATTAAATTTTATTTTATTTTATAAAATTTAATAAAATAAATATCAATAATGTAAAAGTAGAAAAAATGATCTCTTTTTACTTATCATCATTAGACATTTTTTGGATCCCACTCCTAAAAAAGTTGAAAATCCACCACTGAGATCATCTGTAAACAAACTGAACTGGGATTTTAAAATTGCCTTATATAGTGTTCAGTAAGTAAGGAAACGGATTTCTATTATTCTCATTGTTTATAACAATTGTCTTGTTTCCTTACTTTTTGAATACTCAGTAGGGTCAAGTGGGGTAAATGGAAATTGGGGCAAAAGGAAAAAAATATTATTTAAAATAAATTATTAGTGATTATAGAATTCGATATCATTATAACCACAGTACACATAAGGTATAATAGTGTGCAATGATAAAAATATGGAAAATTTGAGGATATGTATAAATTGTTATCACTCGAAAAAGTGTTTATGATTATGTTAGATTATATTTTCTGTTCAACGGCTTTTGAGAAGGGCATCTTCATCAAAAATATAAGTAGAACAGTACAGTTTGAACTAAAGTGTCATTTCATATTTACTTATTTACTATACGGCCCTAAAACTAGTTTAATATCACTTTTTCTATGAAATTTATATATTTTTTTGTAAAATACAAAATAAAAATCAATTGGGGTAAATGGAAATATTAGTAACAAATATAATTTGAAATATTACGATCTTTATCATTTTTTTTTCAACTTCAGAGTGCGTAATTATATAAAAAAAAACATATTAACAGTTGTAGAAAATCAAATTTCATTAGAACCTTCAACGTCAAACACTTTTATAGACTAAATTTTTCCAACATCAAGTAATAATATCTCAGTAAGCCCAAAAGATATAATATCTATTTTTTCAATTCAATTAATACAATATAAAACTAACAATACAATTTGTGTTACAAAAGACCGAGTTCCTCATTTTAGAGTAACAAAGTATGGTGAAGTTTTAACAAATAAAAATGTGTTAAAATAATTGGAGGAAGCAACCTCAAAGAAAAAGCTAATCAAATATCCTAGTAAACTTGGGAGACCTAAGAAAGCTATTAAAGATGTACAAAATATTGTGTTGGAACAATCAATTGATAATATTGATGATGTAGTTTATCATTCATCAGAAGATGATTGTAATGACAATTCATTAGATTTAAGTATTGAAGAAGTTTTATACAATACACCAATTTGGTCTCAAATAAAACCTGGAGTATTTCTTTTAATAGATTTTATTGGAGGGAACCGTAAGAAACAACATTTTAAGTATGTATGTTTAATTAAACGTGTAGATGAAGATGATAGGGATATTTTAGTCCGAGGATTAAAAAAAAATAATGAAATTGGAACTGATTTTTATATTGTTGAAAATGACTTGTCAGATATTACAGTAGAGATGATTCTTGCAATATTACCAATATCAACTGAACATAAGAAGAACAGAAAAACGATATACACATTTCCTGGATACATAAATGTCGATGAAAAATAATCAGTTTAGGCACTATGTTACCTACTTATTCATACATTAATTTATGTGATATATTTTAAAACTAAAAATGCTGTTAGTTTGTTATTTTGTTTATAATTTTTACTTTACATTGTTATTTTTTATGTTAAATTATTATTATCACTATTATATGAAAACAAAAGACTGTTAATATATTTTGAAAGTTTATGAAATAGTAAGTAAGCATTAAACTGTAATAAATTATGATAAAATAATAAAGATTACCTAATTATTTGACTAATTTAATTGTAATTTATGTAATTCAAACAAATTTTCATTTGCCCCAGGCTTATAACATTATCAACTATACTTTAATTTTCATTTACCCCATACACAATATACTATTTGGGACAAATGGAAATTTGTAGGTATCGAATACATGAAATAATATAATGATAGCTGTAACAGAACAATTTCATTTGCCCATTATGTTTGTTCAATAAAACACTTGCTGTTGGAAATAGTTATTTTCATTTACCCCAGAAGTATGGGGCAAATGTAAATTTTTTATG